ATCGCGCTCCTGTCGTCCCAGTGGCGAGACCGACCTTGACCTTGGGTGGCAGTGCTCTGGTCGGATATTCAGCTGTTCCGTGACATCCTGTGCGCAGACATGTTTGAGCCAAGTGATGCCGTACCGTGGTGTCGGCTAGTTGTCGAGTCCCCAGAGAAAAGGGCGTTTGCCGCCTGCTTCCTCTTGCTTGCTTCTTCCCGATTTTATTGCTGATTCGCCGCCTGCCACTGCCGATGACGACGCACAAGCATTTCCTCATGTTTGCCCGGAGTGCAGCAAGAGGTTTCCGTCCACGCGGCTCTCAAAAGTTTTTGCCCCGCAGCGTTATTTTCCCTTGCCTCTGGCTTGTGCCCAAGTTGCGGTATTTGCTTCCGTTCCCTCGTGCGCCCCTTCGGACACTTATGCGATCGACGAAGCACAATGTGTCGTGACGCTATCCGTGTACGGCCGGACCGTAAGCTCCCAGATGACGTTGTGGCCTGGCTTGGCGCTGCGGATAACGGGTCTTTTCTCGCCGCCCGCCCGGATGGCCACTCCCACGACCTACCCGCTGGCGCGGCGCAGCGTGTTGACGGCAGGGTGGTTGGAAAAGCCCCCCAGTAACTGAGTTGTATCTTTGCCATTCAAGCCGCTGCCCTGCACAGTTTCTTTCCACCCGTTGTATCGGTGCGTGTTGTGCTGCAGCGGCTCCACCCAGACGCATCATGGCCATCGCTTGCAAGACATCAGTTTATGTAGGTGCGTATATATGCATGCACGCATGTACTTGCAAGTGTGTATATATGTATACACGTATGTTGCATTTGTACATATATGTATATATCCCTGCATACGTATATGGTTATGTTCATATGCATATGTTTTTATATATATATGCATATGCATATGCTTACGCACATGCGTACGCATGTGTGATGTCATGTTCAATCATATGCATCTGTATACAAATATGCATGTATAGAGTCATGTATACGTATTTTTTTATTGTTAGGTATATGGATGCGAACGTGTACTTGTATCTGCCCATCAATATGTTTAGACGTACGTATAGTTACATATATGTGTATGCATGTGTGCACATATGAATATATATGTATGTGTAGGAACACACTCAGGTATGCATCTATATAAATACATGAATATATATTGAGTTGCAAAGGTGTATGTATATCCATATGGATACGTATATGTAATTGTAAATTTCAATGTATAGGCACATGTGTATGTATATGCATGTGTTTATACACATGTTTATGTTTATGCATATGTATATGTATATACGTGTATGGTATATTATATATAAATGCGCAGATATATGCACATGCAAATGTACATGTACATGTTATTCTGTTTGTTTGTTTTATAATATGTGTGGACATGTGTGTGTGCGTGTGTGTGCATGTGCACACGTATCACGGTGGACGGCCACGTGGTTTACGGACCACAGCCACTACCACACGGGGGTGCCGGGCCTGGTCCGCTCTTGGAGAACCCCAGATCGGCTCGCAGAGCGCTCTGACCGCCGTCACAGCGACACAAGCTAGCCCCGAATCGCTCCCACAACGATTTCGAAAGCTCCCAGGCGTTTCACAACGAGTTTCAAGCCGCCCGAGAGGCTTCCCAAGCGGCCCAAGAGAGCTCCAAGCGGACCTCCAAGAGGGCACCGGGAGGCAAATGTCGCATGCTTCCCTGAGCAACGCGTCCGTGTTTGGAATGCGCGCTTCTTCGGCATGAACGCCGTCCAAAAGATTGAAGAGGCTTCATCATCAGCCTCAGACGGCCCAAGATGCCCAAGAGGGCCCCGAGACAGCCCAAGATGCCATGGAAACGGCCCACGAGGGCCCCCAAAAACCCCAGTAGGGGCCCAAGAGGGAATCTCAGCTTGCAGTTCGAGCCCTCCGCCCAAAAAAGTAACCTTCGAGGCCGCCAGCGGGATCCCAAGAGGCCCCAAAATGCCCCAAGAGGCACCCGGGAAATCCAACAGGGAACCCAAGTAGGCCCCCAGGAGGCCCAAGGGGCTTCAACAACTGCCATTAGGACGCACCCGAGACGGCTTTCAGGCCCTGTGCCCCCCAAATGCTCCTTCGGTTCCCGACCGTGCCCAGGGGTCGTCGAATGGCGTGAGGAAACTCAAGCATTGCGTAGGTTAGCGGCAAGTCGGCCTCAAGTGACCCCAAAGAACAGTGTGGACGCCTTCAAGGCAGCTCAGGACGGGCCCAGGAAGGCCGACGACGCCCCATGAAAGGCCCCCCACGAGGCACCACAATTTAGTTATTTGCAGCAACGGAATTCTGGAGTGCGTCCATCCCTTCTGCAATGGCCACGGTGGGTCGCGGAGTGGGCCGTCGCCTGTTTACGCGTGCGATGCCCAAGCGCATGTAGGGCGTTTCATAAACGGCCCCATCTGCAAATAATCGAAACGTGGATCTCCCTTGCCTCGGCGGAAGCTTGCGGAATGCCAGCGCAAACCGGCGGAAACAACTGTCGGGGGTTGCCAAAAGTGTTCGCGCCAAGTTGAAACGCCTGGGACCATTTGGTCCTCGCGAGGGGTACTCCAGAAACCGTCGAGGCTTCCATGGATCTGGGCTGTGGACACCCCTGGCAAATCACCAAAACGAGGAGCGTTTCCGCCAGCGGAAGTCCGTCGCAGGCGGGCGGATGTAAATTTTGCCCCCGCCGCAGAGTTTAGCGCCAGCGATCTCAGGGTTTTCGGAGTCGGCCACGTCGCTTCCTCCCGTGGCGGCTCGGCTGTCCGCTGGGGCCGGAGGTCACTGGCGACTTCTATCCATGCGAGGCCAGAAGGACGCTGGAGTGCCCCACGCCCTAAGCTGGGGTCGACTCGGCCGCATGCGTCCTTCACACTCCTAGCCCAAGCCCTTTGCCTCAGACATCTCATCAACATGGGTCGGCTTCTCTTCAGGAGGGGAAAAAAACACACAGACACAATCAATCGTCGATTCCCCCGAACATATGGGAAAATATGGGCAGTGGGGGGGGGGAGACGAAAACCCTGAAACTATGGGACACATATGGGGAATGCTTTCATTTGTGTGTATTTGTGTGTGTGTGTGTGTCCTGGAGCCCCTTCATTCTCTGGTGGTGGCTCATGGGGGGGGGGGGGAGCAGACGCCGGCCCAGCTGCGGCCGCGCGGTTTTGGGAATGGACGGGTTGGGGGTTCGCAAGGTGGTGGTCGCTGATGCAGGTGGTGCTGCTCGTCGTCTCCTCCTCCTCCTCCTCCTCCTCCTCCTCCTCCTCCTCCCCCTCCTCCCCCTCCTCTTCCTCCTCCTCCTCCTCCTCCTCCTCCTCCTCCTCCTCCTCCTCCTCCTCCTCCTCCTCCTCCTCCTCCTCCTCCTCCCCCTCCCCCTCCTCCTCTGACGCTGCTCCAGAGGCGGAGCACATGCGTCCAGGGGGTTTGTATGTTGCTGTAGAGAGGCGGCCCGCTTCGCAGGTGTGGTTCTTGCCGTGGTAGATGCGCCGCGGGCACAAGCAATCGCCTTTTCCTTCTTGCGCCGCCAGGGAGCTTGTAGCTTGCACTGCTCAGCACCCTTCTTGCCTCGACCCGCCACCTTCTGCTCTGGATCAGCGGGAACACCTTGTGAGCATGGGCAATGTCATCTTGTAAAACTCCCCTGTTCACGGCGCAGTTCTCCCGGACACAAAACATGCTTTGAACGTGATTTACAAAGATAAACATCCAGTTCTTTGGTGGGTCGGAGTGCAGATTGATGGCGCCGATCCCATCAAGAGGCTTGCCAGTGTAGTACGGTGCCGGCTTGGATATCCAACAGTGTTTTGCAATACGCTTTTCTGCTTCGAACTTATTTTGATATTTGATGGTATGCAGAGGTAGCTCCGATACATAGCTTTTAAAGGCTCTCCGAACGCCTGTCAAAATAGCTTATACCTCCGATGACCAGATTTTCCACATCAGCAGTGAACCTGGCCCCGCCCCGCTTGAGAGCTATCTTCCTACAAAAGCAAGTCTGCGATGCATTGCAATGGAAAGCGCTGGAATGAAGCGCAATGCGATGCAATGGGGAGTATTGCGCCAGCAATTTAGTTCCCCGATGCTATAGGAAGTCGTATGGAGACATTGCGAGGCAATGTACTCTGTCATACATCAGTGCAGTGGAACACACGACAAGCTCAATGCAGCGCACATGGAAGTTCAATGCAATGCAGAAGCAATCACCGCTACGTCAAAGCAAAAGTGAATTCAGTTCATTGCAAGGCTCAGCAATGCATAGCCAATGCTTGCACACTATCAAACCATTGAGCAGCCACTCAACGTAAGGCAAGGCAGTACAACAACAATTGTAAACCACATTGCGAACATAACGCGCACGCAATACGCACCACTGCCGACTCAACGTACAGAAATGCGGCTGTAATGCATAGAGAGTGCAATTTCAATGCAAACAGTAATGCCACACAATTCAACAGGAACGCAGCAGCAACGCACAAATAATGCACTGCAGTCCAATGCAGTGTAAGCAAACGTCAGGAACAATGCAAACGCAGCTCAACGGCAAAGGACACATCAACGCAAACGCGATGCTCTATGTGCTTGGTATGCTCTACTGTATGCTTTGCAATGATTTATGCTATGCTCTGCAATTCTATGGTAGGGCTGCTCTTGTCTGCTATGGCCACGCTATGCTGCGCGCAATGATCTGAGCGCTACAAGGCTATTCGCGGTGCTTCACAGATCTGTATGGCATACATGCGATCATGCTGCTACGGATGTTTTTCGAATCTGCGCCAGGAGCCAGGGCACGAGTGTTGGGGAGTTGGCCGCGCTGAGGACGATACGAGCGCCGGACCCTCGCACAGACCAGACAGGCCCATCCGGGCAGGGCTTCCGTGAGAAAAGTAGGCCTGAGCCAGGCCATTTCGGCTCAAACAGTTGTTGCTGTAGGCCAGTCTTTCTTGTTGTTATTCTGGACTTCCCACTCACGGCCCACTTGCCTCCCTTGATGCCGAGCCTGGTGCCGCTCAGCCGTGAGCAGCTCGCAGACTTCGTGCGAGACGGGTTTCTGCTTCTGCAGCCATCTGTTCCCGGTGGCGACGCCTTTCACGAGCGAGTCTGGGAGGCAGCCCATGACATGTACAGATCGGGCGAATTCGGCAATAATCTCCTTTCTGACTGCCCCGAGCTGGACTCGGTCTTGGATGCACCTGAGATCGCTGGCGCACTCACGGCACTCCTCGGCGAGGACTTCGCGTTGCAGCCGCATCGACATTGCCACGTGTCGATGGCGCACGGCGTTGGCAACCAGTTTTTCCACCAGGATGGCTTCGATTCGTTCAGGCATATGACTCCCACTGACCTCATGGTCATGTACTATCCGCAGGCAGTCTCCGCTGGAATGGGGCCTACAGCCGTCTTGCCTGGTTCGCAATACTGCCGCGAGAGTCCTGCAGGCCACCAGGTGGAGCGCATTCTCACGCTTGGGCAGCCAGGCGGGTGCATAGTAATGCATTTCCACCTATGGCACCGGGCAACTGCCAGGCTCGAAGAAGGGCGTGCCCGTTACATGTTCAAGTTCCAGTTCCGGCGTACGCGGCCCTTTCTGCCGGTGCCCATCCCCTTGTCGTTTGCTGTCAGCGGCGAAAACCCCTTCACTGCTCCGGGATATTGCGGAGACGACGACAGCCACACCGTTGCCTGCGCCGCAGTCTGGGCCGCCCTCAGCGGCAAGCCGCTGCCCAGAGAGGCTGCGGTTGCTCTGCAGGGCATCTCCCGCAGCGACGCTGGCACGTGTGTGCTGAAGGCTGGCTCTCGTGTGGAGCTCGGAGTCGCCAGCGGCACGGTGTCTACCGCAGAGGTGCTCTCGGTGCTGGCCCCAGCGTGGGCGTGGGCGGCTCAGAAGGCGGAGAGCGACAGCGGCGGTCATGTCTCTGCCCATCCCAGCGGAGACGGAGCATTCAAAGCCTACACTGATGCATTAATGGACGTCGCTGGCGCCTTGCAGGTCTCCACTTTCGAGGGGGGCCCACCGGCCTTTATCTTTACGGCGCCCAAGAGCACCATGATGGTGCACCCCTTTGAAGATGAGTGGCGTTTGGAGGTGCTCAGCGCGTTTCCGATGTTCATGCCAGTCGAGGCAGTTCTCTCAGAGCTCGTGCCGCTCGTTGCACCGACGCAGTGCGTCCGAACACAGACCCGCGCGCTGATCAGCCTCTATGTCTGTGGCGTGAGGTGCGGCGCGCCTCTCTCTGGCACATGGCGGGCCGAACGAAAGGGGGGGATAGGGAAAGGGAGGGCTACGAAATCTGCTGCATGCAGCTGGTTTCAGCCCCGCCGCCAGGCCCATTCCTCGATACATGGGCGCCTCCCGGCGCCGGGAGGCGCCAGGAAAATCAGCTACGTGAGCTGATTCTCAAACCCCTTCTTTGCTATCCCCCCCTTTCGCCCGACCCGAACATGGCGCTCCGCCCTGCGCGTCGTGCCGGTGGAGAAGGTGCTGCTGGAGTGTGTGGCGTTTTGGCAGGCGTGGCTGACAGCGGCCAAGGGGACACACCAGCCGGCGGAGCTCCTGAAGGGCCGCTACACGCTGGCCGAAGCCCTGCGCTGCATCGGCCGATTTGGTCATCCGCTGGTGGCGAAGGCGGCGGCGGACCTGATCGGAGTGGGGGCACAGGCAGAGCTCGTCTGCGGCCCCAACTGGCGCGGCAAGTTCTGCAGGTTTGTGGAGCGACGCCGGAGGTGCCCCATCACTTCGGCGCAGTCGCTGTTCTGATGTCCAGCTGCCTGCGGCAAGCCCTGCCACCTTTCCCGTGCAGCAGCTCGCCGGAAGGAGGTTTACCCCAAGACCCGCCCGAGCTCGGACAGGTTGCTGGACTGGATCGGGTCTTGGCTATCCCCTCCCTGTCTGTCTGCAGCCTCGCGCTTCTTGTGCTGCTCCCTCGTTTCTTCACACCACTCCTAAGCCTTCTCTTTCCCCTTCAATGCGTTTTGGAGGCTCCTCGGGGGCTTCTTGAGGGTCTCTCGGGGGCCTCTCAGAGCCGTTCTGGTCGCCTTGGGCGGCCTGTTTGGAGGCTCTTGGAGACCTCTTGGGGGCTTCTCTGGGGGCCTCTTAGGGCCCCTCGGGGTCGCCGGGGGGCCGGCCTCTCGGGGGCATGTTTGGTGGGGTTTCGGAGGCGGACCTCTCAGGAACGTCCGTCTTCTTTGCGTCTCGGGGGCCTCTTGGGCGCCCTCTTGGAGCTCTGCTGGGACATCTTGGAGACCTCTTGGGCCGTGGCGAGGCCATTGTGGACGATTCCGAGATCCTCTTGGAGCTTCCCGAGGCCTTCTTGGGCAATCTTGGGACCGTCTTGCGGCTCTTTCGGCCGTCTTGGAGCGGGCTTGGCTGTCTTGGGGCTGCTTTTTTGGCTGGCCTGGAGCCGTCCTGAGGCCGCCAGTTACAGTGCCGTTTTTAATACATGCTCCGCGTGCGGATCATGTATTAAAATGCAGGGATTTATGATTAAAAACAACGACGAGTTCGTGCATAATTCATTCATACATTAATCATGTATTCTAAATCCCATGTTTTTTTTTTTTTTTGTTTTTTTTGAAAATCTCCTGTGTATTAAAAACTGCCCTGTACGAGCGCCGGAGAGCACCTGCAGGGTCGGGGGGGTCGGAGGATGCCTGTTAGGAAGGGGGGGTGCTGTGTCCGATTCAGGAAGCACACAAAGAACGTTCGCAAGACAGCGCCAGGGCATTCTATCGGGCCGGACGAAAGGGGAGGATTGGGAAAGAGGGGTTACGAAATTTGCTGCATGCAGCTGGTTTCGGCCCCACCGAGGGGCCCATTCCTCAATACACAGCCGCCATCGGCGCCGGGAGGCGCCGGGAAAATCAGCTACGTGAGCTGATTCTCAAAACCCCTTCTTTGCTATCCCCCCCTTTCGCCCGATCCGAGCCCATCCCGTGCAGGCGCGGTACCAGGTATAGTTGGGCCGTCCGTGCAATCGGCATGCGCAGTGTGGAGGATCGGTGGGCTGAAACGCAGGATCCTGGTTGTCTCCCACAACCTCGATAGCCATGCCAGAAGTGCATTCGGAGAGTTCGTGTGACGGGTTAGATGTATCACAGCTGTGGGCTAGTCCAACCCTCTTCGCATGCAACAGTCTCGCAATCCTGGGTTCCGAGATGCCCTGACCTGAGGTGGTGACCGCCACAATCCTATCGAATTCGAAGAGTGGGTGCCCGGGGTCTTCTGGCCTCCCGTAGCGGCAGCGAGCCTCCGAGGCGGCCTAACCCGACCTCAGAGAAGCCCAAGAGGGCCCGAGACGGTTCAAGAGCGCTCCAAGAGAGCCCTAGATGCATCAAGACGGCCCAGAGGCCTCCGAGAGAGCCCCAAGAGATCCCCCAAGGTGGAGGAGGACCGAGGAGAGGGAATGATGCGACCCAGTGTGCCGCAGTCGACATGGAGGTGAGTGCACTCCTCGATCAGTTCGTGGGGGTGGTTGCTGCGCTTCTCCAACCAGACTGCCGATTAATTAGCGAATTCACTGACGCGTTCGATGGTCCGACTACGTTGCGATCTGGTGACTTGCGCAGGGCCGAAACCTTGCCAGGGAGGCTCTGTCTGCGCAGCAGACGCTTGCAGGCGTGTTCGCGGCTTCTCTGCAGGCTTCGTCCCTCCCGCTTGCACAGATCGAGCGCCAAGGAGGAAGGGCTGGGGGAGGAACAGGCAGCTAACGCTGAGGCCGGCGCCAGCTGCGCAGTACGCCCGGCGAGTGCCCGGGCGACAGCAGCGGTGCACCTGCCGTTGCCATCAGGATGCGCGCTTCTGAGCTTTACAAGTTCAACGTCATGCTCAGAACGGTCCGCATCCCGCGACCGAGTTCGCGTGCCAGGACCAACGTCGCTTCCACCAGGTGAAGCTGCTTTTGCTGCCGTGCACCTGGAGAGGTTCTCAGCTGGCGAACGTACAGCTTGGAGTTCACTCAGAGATGTACATAAGGTTTGCTCGAAGGATCGGCTGGCAGGGCGTGTTGGCATAGCGAGCGCCGCACATCGTGTCCACATGGCACGCTGGTAGTTTGCGTGTTGTTCCCGTCGATGCGACCTTGAAAGGCCGTGGTGCTACGAGCTCCAGTGGTCGCGACGTCAGGAGAGGCTCGGCCATTGAGCGAGGCTCATCGTCTCAGCTCAGCTATTCTCCCACGGACGCGGGCGAGCGGGCCTTTTGATATGCTGGCCGCCCTTGTCTGCAGCACGCTCGTACCAAGTACGGCGCAGACGTATCCTGGGCCCGTCGTCCCAGTCTTAATTTGTATTCTGTTTTCGCCAGTCCGCTCCTGTTGGCTAAAGAGCAGTCTAGCGTGTTGCTGGTTGTCTCCAGGGCTGGAGGGACATGATCGGACAATTCTCGCGATGTCTCCCTGGCCCTGTCGAGCCCAGAGTTTTGGAGCTAGGCGGAGTGCTGAGTCGCGCGCCCAGCGCGCGCGAGCAGCGGCCGAACTTCCAGAGGAAGCACCCGAAGACGTCCGAAGAGCACCAGCGCCGCTGCTCGCGCGCTGCCCGCGGCGGCGTCGAGGCTGACCGCTCGTTTCCTCGGGTCGGGCTGACGGGTCCGCATCGACTTCTACGACTGCGGGCAAGCTCCACATCGGCAGGTGCGCTGGATATGCCTGCGGGTGAGAGTGACGAGGCAAAACCTGTGAGTGAGACCACCACGCCAGACATCGCTGGAGTTCTAGAGTGAAGTCGGGCATGTCCCTCTGCAGGAGGAATATCAGTCAAAAAGCTGTTTGGGAACGATGCCTCGAATTTTGGGGTTTCTAAAATCCGCCTGTAGGGGGACGTGATCGACCTAAGGCTAGAGAGTCTTCAGCCCCTCCTCATAGCTGCCCCTCGCCCCGCAGACCCACGAGCCTCCCCCACCTACCGTCAGGTGGTTGTTGCTGGTAGGGACATTTCACTGAGCATACCATCTCGGGCAGATTTGGGTCCGACGCCACGTTCTCCACCTCGTTTGCATCCGTAGCCAAAGCGACCAAAGACGACGGACGACGACGACGACGACGACGACGACGACGACGACGACGACCGTCGGACCTACTCAGGACGAAGACCGACAAACCACGATTAACGGCAACGGCGAACCACGGCGACGGCCGACCAACAGCGACGCCGGCGTCTGGGGGGTCCCAGTCGGGGCCCGTCTGGGGCGCCGGGGCGGGTTCAGTCGGGGGTGCATTCTGGTACAGTCGGGGGTTCGTTCGCGGCTCCTTCGTGCTCATGCAGGTTCTCTCGGGTTGCGCGGCCCCGGCGGGTGGTCTCAAGGCTATAGGCTGCAGCAGGGTTCGGAGCCCGTCCGCCTGCAGCCGCCCCTGCCCTCTGTGCTGCTCAAAGCGGAACCCCCGTCTCCAGGGAGGGGGGAGCGCTGGGGGGAGTGTGGGCCGCGTCCCCGAAACTCGAGCAGCGGTGAAGCGTCCTGGCTCGCCTCCAGGCCAACCAAAGAATGTTCTGACAAGAACCCTTTGTGGTTGCTACAAGATGTTCTGAGAACGTTTCTGGCCGACTGTGTCTCGTTTTAACACATCGGTTTCATGTTCTAAGGACATTGCTTTTGTTCTTAGAACATTTTTGCCGTTCTAGGAACATGTCGTGGTAGGCCTATAGAAATGCCTGGACGGTCGATCCCTGCTCAAGGAACGCTCCCTTCTAGAATGTTGCCCGGCCCGCGCGCTCTAGGATTTGATCTCGGCCGGTCGCTGTCGGCCTTCCAGATTAGGCCTTCTAGAATTTTACGTCTGCGTCCGTCTCGTCGTCGTCGTTCGTCGTTGTTGGTTGTTCGGTCCGTCGATCGTCGCCGACGGTCGTCGTCCTCGTCGTTCGGTCGTCGTTAGTCGGTCGGTCGGTCGGTCGGTCGGTCGGTAGTCGTTGCCGTCGTTGTCTGTGGGTCGTCGCCGTCGGTCGACGTCGGCGTCGTCGATCGTTCGGTCCACCAGTCGGTCGGTCGTCGTCGTCGTTGTTGTCGTCACCGTCAATCGATCGGTCGGTCGGTCGGTCGGTCGTCGTCGTCGGTCGCTCGGTCTCTTGGCCGCTGGGTCGCTCGGTCATTCGTTCGGTCGGTCGGTTGGTCGTCGTCGTCGTTGTCATTCGTCGGTTGACGCCGTCAGTCGTCGTTCGGTCGGTCGGCAGGTCGGTCGGTCAGGCGGCCTTAATGATTGTCGCATGATTTGGGCAGCTAGAGCGAGCCACGCCTCCACCACGGTCTAAGTGAATTTGAATCGTTAGACGGACACGCTTCGTCGTCATTCCCACTCGCTACTGAGCCACCTGACTGTAGGCACGCCAGGGACACGTCCAGGGGGAGTGGCAATGCCCCGAGGTGGGTCCGCAGGACCTACCAGCCCCCTAGTCCCACCAGCGCCGCGTCGCGTCCTCGAGCCAAACCCTCCCGTGGAACTTTCTTTCTGCTATCCACGCCCCGTCTCGGTCATGGGATGAATCTTGGAACGATGGATACCATGTTGAGATTTGTCGGGTTTCGAAGGTAATCTTACTTGCAGTCTGATTATCAGTCAATGTGCGATTGTACGGCGACTCGGACACTTGCTTTTCAGGGGTCGGATCCAATCTGTCATGCTCTTCGTATATACACATACATACTAACACCATCGCGCGCGCTTCACGCGCGCTCAAGTTCTACTTGCCATGGGGTCAAGCGTATAGCGCGTCACAGGGCCCGTGTCCAGATGGTCGTGTCCTTTGCTCGCACGCCCACGCGTTGTTGCCTGAAGTGGCACTTAGGCTTGGTTTTCGCGGCAGTAATGGTCCATCTTGCGGCACATTTGCAGCTCTCTTCGATGTTATGGTGGCCTCCAAGGCCTAAGTGGAATCCCACTTTCGCAACACATTATTTCAGTTCCAGAAGCGACAGGAGCAAGAAGGGCGCAGGAATGAGCGAGGTGGAGGAGGAGGAGGAGGAATGGAGCAAGACGGAGGGGGCGTGAGAAGGGGAGGGGTCGGGGGACGGTAGAGGCAGGATCAAGCAACAGGAAATGAAGGATAGAAGAACAGGAAGAGCGGGTGAAGGTGGGAGGGCGGAAGGAGGACGAAGCGCGGGAGAGGAGGGAGGAGTGGGTGAGGGAAAGGGGGGCGATGCAGAAGGAGGAGCAAGAGAAGGAGGAGTGATGGGGAGAGTGCCTGTATACTGCCTGGAACGAAGGTTGTCTTTGATTTGGGGCGCGTGTGACGTAGCATGTAGTCTCTATGAGGGCCGCTCGTGGGACCCGAAGGGGGCACTTGGGGGTCTATTGGGGGCTTCTCGGGGCCTTCTTGGAGGCGTCTCTGGGGACTGGGGGCCTCTCGGGGGCCGCCGGCATGCCCAGGGGGCCACCTTGGCGCTGAGGGCGATCGGAGGGCCGCTCGGGGGTCTCCTTTTGAGTCTCGCTTGAGGCGCTTTGGAGCCGTCTTAGGCGCCACTTGGGCCGCTTCTTGGGTAGGGGAACAACAAGTGACATAAACATAAAAACTCGGAGGTCCGCGCGGATTTCTCGGATCGGCGCTGGGGCCCCCCTGGCGGCGCCTCCGGCGCCGCCCCTGTCGCGCTCCGCGCGCCAGGGAGGGGGGTCCAGCGCCGATCCGAGAAATCCGCGCGGACCTCCGAGTTTTTATGTTTATGTCACTTTTTTTCCCCTATGGGGGGCCATCCTGGGATTCTTGGGGCCTGCTTGGGGAGCTCTTCGGCGGGCCTCGGGGCGCTCCTGGGGGCCCCTTGGAGCCGCCTGGGATGCTGGTGTATCAAGAAGCCACATGCTGAACATATGCGTTTCCCTCATGAGGAAATGCAGCGAGGTTTGCTGCACCGAGTCGTTTGCGTTCGGGTCGACACTGACGGAGCAAGCGAACTTTCAGGTCGTGTCGCTGCGGAATTTCCCAAGGCGACGAAAACAATCAACTCGATGATTCAAGTTGCATTGCTCTTCCAGGGCAGTGTGGCAGGATGATGAGTCCAGGAGCACGAAGTCGGGCACGTCCCTCTACAGGAGAAATATTCAAAAATAATGAAAAATAGTCGGGGGACCATGTGTTGAGTATTTTGTTGAGTATTTTGGGGTATTGTGTGAGTATTTTAAATTTGTCGCTCAAAATCCGCCTGCAGGGGGACGTGCCCGACCTAACAGGAGCCCCGGCTGACGGACTGGGACGGCGCGCTGTCGCACCGGCAGCTGCGCTACGCCGCAACGGACGCCTGGACGGTCTGGCGCTCGGCTTCGCCCCGCTGGGGGCGTGGGGGGAGCCCAGTCCGAGCACTGTGAACCTCGAGGCCTTCCAGATGGTGTCCGAGCACAGCCAGCCCGCCTTACAAGGATGGGCAACCTTCCCAAGGGTAATGCGGGATGACGATTAATAAAGATGAGAGAGAACGATTAAAAAATAGTTTTCTGATATTTCTGCACCGTTTTCTGACTGGAGGAGAACGATTTTCAAAAATAGGTTTCCAGCCCGCGGCTGGTTTTTCCAATCGTCATCCCGGGCGCCGCCGCGTGAACACGACCCCTGGTAATTTATTAACCGTCATCCTCCATTACCCTTGCATCCTTGCCCCTTCGGCCCATCCTTGACTACTTTCACTGGCCGCGCTCCGCTCTTAAAGCCTCGAAATTAGCTGCGAAGGTCTTTGCATCCTCACCCACTGCGCGTCCTTGCTCTGCGGGTTGACTGTAGATGGGGTGGGGAGGATCGCGCCGCATCGCCGACGTATCGGTGATGCGGCCCGATGTGTAGCACGATTTTACCCACGCATGCGGGGCCGATGCGTCGACGATGTATCGGCGTTGGTTGTATCGGCGATGCGGCGCGATCCTCAGACCCCCTCCACTCGGACCCTATTTGGGAGGCCTGTAGAACCCCCTTCTCCTCTCGTCGTGGAGAATCAGAGGAGCAAGATGTTAGGATAAGTTCCAGAATTTCCAGGACCTCCGGGCTTCCCAGATCCCCTGCTGTTCCACGTGCTGTAGAACCGAGGGCAGCTCGATCCTCTTGGAAGTCCTGGAACGCTTTCTGAGCCAATCTTATCGTGAGATCACCCCCGTCCTAAAAAAACGGCCCCCTTCCTGCTCCTGCTTCGGGTTCGTGCTTCGAATCCGCGGTGCTCCAGCCCCCCCTGTGCGGGGCCTCCGGGATCGTTGGCTCCTCGCTTCCCCCTAGATCGTTGCCCTCCTCCTCCTCCTCCATCGTTTTCGCATGTTTCCTTTGGTTCTCCGCGGTGTTCCAGCCCCGGGGGCGCCTTTTTCTGGCAGCCGCGCCTCGCCGAGAGCGTCGCGGGGGGTGCCCGGAGATCCTCCCGCCGCAGGCCCGCCGCAGGCCCGGGGCGGGGCTCGAGAACGGGATCTCCTCGCGTCGCGGTGTGCACTCGGAGGCTGATAGACCTCCTGCCCCTAAGTCGGGCCTGTCCCTCTATAGGGGGAATGTTCAAACATAGTCCAAACATAGCCTGGGGATGATGTTTTGCGTATGTTTGGGCATCCTTTCTGCACATGTTTGGGGTACTTTTGATTTTCCGTCCAAAATCCCCCTGTAGGGGGACAGGCCCGACCGAATCCTTCCCTAACGCGTCGATTCGCGAATTGGCCGTTCCTCGGTCTCCAAAGCTCGCGCCGCGCGGCCCGTCTTCCCCCGCCCTCTCCGCCCCAGGCCCCGCCGCCTCGCGCCCCCTCTGCGGCACCCGGGCGGTTCCCCTGCCCGGCGTCCCTGGCCGCCGCGAGCGCCCGTGCGGACTGCCTCTGCCGTGCTGCGAGGGAGGAGTCGGAGGTTGATAGACCTGGCCAGGCTTGTGGGGGCCGTGCTCGGGTGGCTTTGATGAGGGCCGAGTTTTGCTGACGGGTCCGCTTGCTGCACGAAGCACGGCTCGTGTAGCAGAGCGGGCTGGTCTGCTGTGCAGGTCGATCAGGCTGGCCGATTTGTTGCTTGCATGCATGGGGCGGCCCCTCGGTGGTGGGGGCCCGACCAGTGGGCTCGCGACGGCGAAGATTGTGCCTTCCACATGCTTGCACGCATGTGCCCCTACAGGCGGATTTTGGACGCAAAAGTAAAACATATCCAGAACATATTCAAACAAAAACTCAGACATGGCGAAGAATCGTCCCCAGACTATTGTTTGACTATTTTTGAGCATTCCCCCTGTAGAGGGACAGGCCCGACTTCATGATAGACCTACCCTGATGCGTCGATTAGTGAATTGGCCGTTGTCGGCTCGCGAGAGGGAGTCGCGGCCGTCCTTCTTGCGGGTCCAGGGCCGTCGGTTTTGGTCCTAGGCCGTTTTCACTAAATGATGGTTTATTAAAGGGAGGTTTGTCCACCGCCGATGAGTCCAGACCGCGAGGGCGTGGATATGGATACGTGGGGTGTTCCAAAGAGGGCCTCGCTCTCGAGGATCGAGGGAGTTGCCATCTCTTCCGCGGCGGGAGGCGGCGGAAGGAAAGCGGCGGCGGCTCCGCCCGCGGAAGCTCGGCGGAAGCCCGGCGGAAGCCGGCGGAAGCAGAAGTCGACCTCCGAAGAGAAGGAGGAGGAGGAAGAGGAGGATGAGGAGGAGGCTCGCGAGAGGGAGTCGCGGCCGACCTTCTTGCGGGTCCGGGGCCGTCTGTTTTGGGCCTGGGCCGTTTGCACCAAAGGGTGGTTTACTAAAGGGAGGTTTGACCACCGCCGATCAATCAGGACAGTGTTTTTTTGTCAACTTTCGGCCTCCAGGGGCCGTCGCTGTGCCCGAGGACTGTCGCAGAACGACCCAGCGTGAAAAACTGGCCCCAGGGTCGGGGTGCCGACGTGTTGAGAAATGACGACGTTGGCGATCTGGGAGTGACCACCGCCAACAAGATTGGGAGAACGCGAGATCCGGCTTGATGCAGTTTGGCTGCTGTGGGCACCAGCCGTCGCAGCCCCGTCGCCAATGGCGCCACTGTCACTACAGCGGAAGCGCCATGTGGAAACACCGAAGACAGCAGATTACAAGCCACCGTGAGACAATGTGTGGCATCCTTTGCACAACAAAAAAACATCATGCGGAGGGGGCGGGAGATCCTCCAGGTAACTTCGGGAGGAGGGGAAATATTCTCTAATGGCCTTCTGCCCGCCCCGCCATCCTGCCTGAGTTGCGGGTCAGAGTTCTCAGGGATGCTTCTTCGGGCCCCTTCGGAGCGCTCTCGGGTGCCTCTTGAGAGCAGTTTGGGGGCCTCTTGGGGGCCTCTTGGGGGCCTCTTGGGGGCCTCTTGGGGCCTCTTGGGGGCCTCTTGGGGGCCTCTTGGGGCCTCCTGGGGAAGGGGCCCTCGGAGCCCAGGGCTCGAAATGCCAGCTCGGGTTCCCCATCTGGTCCCCGTCTTGGGGTAGTATTTGGTCCCTCTTGGGCCGTCTTGGGCGCCTCTTGGGCAGTCTTGGGGGTATCTGGGGCCGTCTTGTGGCCCTCTCGAGGGCATCTGGGGCCGTCTTGGGGCGATCTTGGGGGCCTTGTGGGCCGTCTTGGAGCGTTGGGGCGCCGAACAAGCGAGAACGCCAATATCCTTGAAGCACCGAAGGGCAATTCATCATGTTGGCCTCTTGGGGTCCTCTTGGGAGGCTTCTCGGGGGCCTCTTAGGGCGTCGTGGAGGCCTCTTGGGCTGTCTTGGGGCTACCTTGGGCGTCTGGGAGCGATCGTTCGGCGACTCGGGGTCCTCTTGGATCGTTTCGGGGCCTCTTGAGGCCATCTTTGCCAATTTTGGTGCCTTCTTGGCTACGACCAAGTCAATCGACACGACTCGACACGCCCCGTCGAACTTGCGTATTTTGGGCCTGGGCCCCGTTAAAGATTTCTCAGGCGTGAGGACGGATGCCTAAGGGATTGGGCAAAAGACATTAGGACCGCCCACTCCGTGCTCAGCGGCTCAGTGGCGGATTCATATTGTTCAATTGTTTCGGGGTGGCGATGGCGATGAGGACGACGAGAAATACAAGGCCGCGATATTATGTGCGACTGTATTTTTTGTCCGCGGTGGTGGTGCATATGAATTGGTGTTGTACTCAAGCCGTATGCGATTGTTCGCTCTTGCTCCCTGAGTTTGCCCCAACAAGCGGCCGACGGCCGATACTAGCATAATGTAAGCTCGGGGTGCACCCCTGGGGGGGGGGGTCATTGGACGTACTTCTATGTACTGTGGACGCCCGTCCATGGTACATGTCCGAGTTCGGCTCGCATTTTTGTCCAGCCGAAAACTCCACCACGTCGGGGATTGGGGTCGCAATGCGCCCAGTTCTGAGGACAATAGGTTTGATATCGAAGACGCCTACGGCGAATCACCGCCGCCCCCTGCCTCTTGGAAACGCACATGCGGCGAGACGTTGGGCCGAAGCCTGGCCACGCTATTGGACTATGTTCCCCCCCCCAGCGGTTGTGGAACCCTTTGGGGGGACATTTGAGAGAGGACGAGGGAGGAGAAGAAGAGGGAGACGGGGGACGAGGATGAGGATGAGGAGGGGGAGGAGGAGGAGAAGGAAGAGGAGGAGCACTGCGACAAGGATGTTGTTCAAGGCCCTCTTGGGGCCTCCTGGGGACTTTCTGGGAGCCCCTTGGGGGCCTCTCAGACTCAGACTCTGAGGGGCATCTTTGGGGCGTCCTGGGGCCTCTAAGGGACCTCTCTGGGCAGTCGTGGGTCCCTCTTTGGGTGCTGTAGGGCCGTCTGGCAGGTCTAGGGGGCTGCCGTGGGCCCGTGTTGGGATCCTCTTGGACTGTCTTGAGGCCATCTTGGGCCGCCTTGCGGCCCTCTTGGGGGCCTCTTTGGCCGTCTTGGGGCGATCTTGGGGGCCTCTGGGGCCGTCTTAGAGCATCCGAAGCCCAGCAAGGCGAGAACGCTTAACCCATTGAACAACATACTGGGGCTCCATGATGTTGGTCTCCTGAAGGTCCTCTTGGAGCTCTCTTGGGGCGTCTTGGGGGGCCTCTTGGGCCGCCTTGGGCCGCCATTGGTGCATCTTGGGCCATCTTGAGGGGCGTTCTGGGACTGGCTCGAACTCTCTTGGGGCTATCTTAGCAGTCTTATAGGTCGTCTCGGCCGTGTTGGAAGCCATTTTGATGCTATCCCAGGCGGGAAGCCGACGGGAGACACCTTCTCCGCGTGGTCGGCGTGCTGGGCTGAGACCCCACTGGGAAGACGTCAGAAGCACGCCGTGCACCACTGTGGAACGCCAGAGGGGGCGGCGGACCGAAGACGCGTACCCCTGCCGTGTTGAAAACGCCCCCCTGCCGTGTTGAGAACGCCTAGGTGGCCGAGCGTTGCGGCCAGATCTGGCCCACACTATCTGACTATGTGTTCCCCCAGCCGTTGTGGAAATCCTTCGGAGAACGCGTGGGGGAGAAAGAAGAAGAAGGGGCGGAGAGGAAGGACATTGGAGGAGGAATCGGAGAAGGAGGAGGCGCAGGAAGAATAACAGTTTATGATGATGATGAGGAGGAGTAGGAAGAGGATGATGCTGCTGATGATGAGGCTGATGCTGCTGATGATGATGATGGTGGTGGTGATGATGATGCTGAGGATGATGCTGATGATGATGATCATGATGATGATGCTGCTGCTAATGATGATGATGATGATGATGATGATGATGATGATGATGATGATGATGATGATGATGATGATGATGATGATGATGATGCTGATGCTGATGCTGATGCTGATGCTGATGCTGATGCTGATGCCGATGCTGATGTTGCTGATGATGATGATGATGATGATGCTGATGATGCTGATGCTGATGCTGATGCTGATGCTGACGCGGATGCTGACGCCGATGCTGATGATGATGATGATGATGATGATGATGATGATGAGGAGGAGGAGGAGGAGGAGGAGGAGGAGGAGGAGGAGGAAGAGAAGGAGGATGCGGCGGCGGAGGAGAAGGAGGCCTCGTGGGATCCTCTTGGGGGACTCTTGGGGCCTCGTGGGAGGGGAGCTTCCTGGGGGCCTCTGGGAGGCCTCCTGGGGGCCTCTCCCTGGGCCTTTCGGCTTCGGAGGCTCCTCTTGGGAGGCTCCCGGGCCGTCGGAGAGGCCGCGCCCGGCCCCCTTGGGCGCCGCCCGGAGCCGTGCTGTGGGGGCCTCTCTCTGGGCCGATTCGGGGCTCTCTTGGGGCGCTTCGGGGGCGTCCTGCGGTTCATCTTGGGCGCGCTCGAGGAGGAGGAGGAGGAGGAGGAGGAGGACGAGGAGGAGGAGGAGGAGGAGGAGGAGGAGGAGGAGGGGGGGGAGGAGGAGGGGGAGGAGGAGGAGGAGGAGGAGGAGGAGGAGGGAGGAGGAGGGGGAGGAGGAGGGGAGGAGGAGGAGGAGGAGGAGGAGGAGTAGGAGGAGGAGGAGGAGGAAGAGGAGGAGGAGGAGGAGGAGGAGGAGGAGGAGGAGAAGAGGAGGAGGAGGAGGAGGAGGAGCAGCAGATGGAGGAGGAGAAGAAGGCGTGGGAGGCCCGCCCCTTTGCTCAGGCGATCGCAAACATGGATCAAGGGGGCGTGGATTAGCGACGGGTCCCGCTTCCGCGGGACATCGTGGATTTTCGCCGCCGAGCGAGGTGGCGCAGGCCGCATTTTAGGGAGGGCACCTCCCCCGATCCGTGGATTTGGCGACCCGACTTTGGGGGCGCTTCAGGGGCGTCCTGGGGTCCATCTTTGGCGCACTCGAGTCCTCTTGAGCCGTCGTGGGGCTCTTTTGGGGCCGTCTTGGTGGCCTCCTGGGCCAGCAGAAGGCCAGTTCGAGGCCTCGTTGGCGATCCTGTGGCGGTCCTGGGGACCTCCTGGGCCGTCTTGGGCCGTCGGAGGCCCGAACAGGAGCAATGGCCAAACTCTTCTAAAAGCCTCAGAGGGCTCAGTGATGGAGGCTTCTTCGGGCCTATTTGGAGGACATCTTGGGTGGCCGTCCTGGGAGGCCTCTTGTGCCGTCTTGGAGGCCTATTGGGGGCCTCTTGGACCGTCAGGGGCCATCTTGAGGCCATCGAGGCCGTCTCGGGTGCATCTTGGGCCGTCTTGGAGACATCTTGCTGTCATCTTGGGCTCTCTTGGGGCCATCTTGGCCGTCTTGGATGCCACCTTTGCCGTCTAGGGGGTCACCTTGGAGCTTTTGTATGTTTTTGTTTGTTGGGGCGGCACGGGAGAACGAGTTTTGGGCGGTTCTCTGGGTGTCCAGAACGGTTTTTTTTGACGGAGTCCAAACCAATCAGAACGCCAGTGCGCCGTACACCCCACAGGGGGCGGCGGATCTGGTGGCCTTCGGCCCATCTCGCCACCGTGCGCTTCTTGCATGCCGTCTCTTGGGATACCTCACGGAGGCCTTTTGGGACCTTCTTGGCGCCTCATTGGGTCTCGTGGGTGCCTCCGCGGGCCTCTTCGGGGGCTCTTGGCGGTCTCGGGGGCCATCTTGGCTGACAACGTGGTGCCCTGGAAGGGGGGAGCACGACCTGGCCGTACGTGCCCTCGCGCGATGTGTTTGAATGCCCCAGGCTTCCGAGAGCTCGCAGGGACCGTCAGAGCTGATGACACTCCGCTCAGTGCCGCGTTGCGTGGGGGTGGGTTCTGGGCGGCAGCATGGCGCTGCCAGGCTCATCTGCGAGGATCCGGTGAGGCAAGCTGATGAGGAGGAGGGATGCGGGCGATGAAGAGGGAGAGGAGGAGGAGGAGGAGGAGGAGGAGGCGGATCGGGACGATCATGGATCTCTCCAGCCACCAAGAACCATGCGGAGGAAGCGGAGGAGGAGGAGCAGGATGAGGAGGAAGGGTATGAGGATCATTACGATGATGACGATGATGACGATGATGATGATGATGATGATGATGATGATGATGATGATGATGATGATGATGATGATGATGCTGATGATGATGATGATGATGATGACGAGGAGGAGGAGGAGGATGAGGTTGAGAATGAGGATGAGGATGAGGATGATGATGATGCTGATGACGATGATGATGATGACGATGATGCTGTTGCTGCTCATGATGCCGATGATGATGCTGCTGCTGATGATGATGCTGAGGATGTTGATGCTGATGATGATGCTGCTGATGCTGATGATGATGGTGATTTTGATGGTACTGATGATCATGTAGGTGCTGTTGGATGACGATGCAGATTGCTGTTGCGATCTGACCACAGCAGGCCTGAGGATTTTCGACCGTCTGGTACCGTACATCGCGCTGCAGCGACTCTGCGGTTGTGCGAAAGTAAGATGGCGACCTCAATCCATTCGTCAGCGTTCAAGAAGCTCCGTGGGGACGATCCGGCAGCAGAGGACGAGGAGGAGATGGGGGAGCAGATCAGCGAAAACGAAATTAACGAGATGAGCGAGACGGACATGATGAAGATGATGTTTAAGGATATGTAGTCCATGAAGAAAGACATGAAATTAATAATGAAGGCGACGGCATCGACCGCTGAGGAGGCAAAAAAGGAGGCGACAGCAGCCAAGCAGGTGGCCTTGGACGCTCAGATGACGGTGGCCAGCACCGAGGAGAAGGTAAAGAAGATCCAGGGCTCGGCACTCACGAAGGAGAACGTCGAGGACATCGTCAGCAAGAAAATGGAGAGCATGCAGGTCACGGGAGGGGGAACAGTTACTACGGTAACAGGGGGCTTTGCCGATCTCACAAAGACAGCGGCAGAGGATTGGATCACCAACAAATTGAAAGAGTTCAAACTTGAGCCTCCCAGTGAAATCTACCACAAAGGGGAGGATTTCAGAGGATTGCTATTTGCTGAATTTGGGAACGAAGGAGCAGCAGACACAGCAGTGCAAGCGTTTCGAAAGCATCCGCAGAAGGCTGGTGGAAGATACATTTGGTGCAAACACGACCGGCCAGCCCATGTCCGCATACCCCTTATCATATCTTCTAGGCGCGCGTTGGCAACTCATTCACTGGGGTTTCGCCAGTTTCGCCACAAGGTGAAGTGAAGGTTGACGAAAAGACCATGGCACTGAAGATTGGGGGAGTGCCGGTACTCACCGTCAAAACCTCGGACAATGAGATCGTGGGTGGACAAAGGTAAGGAAGAGTGGGAAGACTTACGCAACAGCGCGGAACTTAAAGAACTGATAACCGCAGCAAACGACAAATTGCGCAAGATGGCGGATAACCAGGGAGAGGGTAAAAGAAAAGGACAGATGGAGGCTGGCGCAGGCCAGGCTTGACGGGTGCAGCGGTGCATTGGCTATGTTTCACCTCGCTATGTTTCACCTCCTGCGTGCTGTGAGAAGGAGACAGATCGAGCGGTCAGTTTTGGGATCCGCGCAGCCCCGTACAATGGCAAAGTCACCATAGGCATGTGGAACGTGGAGGGGCTGACGGACATCAAGGTGCATGAAATGTGTAGCATAATGAAAGCAAGATCGATACGCATTTTGTGTTTGCAGGAGACGCATCACACACAATCCGATTACAAACGTTTGGAGGGAGGTTACCTGTGCATCAATTCCAGCAGTGGCGCCCCAAGCAAGACTTACGACGGAGTCGCATTCATCGTTGCTCCAAGAATGGCAAAGTCAGTTTTCAGTTCCAAGCAGTATTCCTCCAGGGTCGCAATTTTGAAAATACGCGCGAAAGTTGGCAACTCTGCAATTGTAAACAACTGCGCGCCGCACAGTGGACACGATTACGGCGCCCAGCAGGCGCACGACGCAGAGCTTCGACAGCAGCACTCGTCCTTAAGCTGCCATGGGATGAAACTCGTCGTTGGGGATTTCAATGTCAGGTTACACTGAGAATTTGCTGGAGAGGAGGACATGGTGGGACCGCACGTTTTCGGAAAGGCCGATCACGACAAACAGCCCGACACCAATAGGGAGTTACTCATTGAGGCTTGCGTGGCCACGAATCTCGCAGTCGCAAATACTTTCGTGCAGGATGACCCTGAAAAGCAAATTACGTATTACGACATTGGCAAGCGACCGATGGACGAAATTTCACATAGAAGCTTCGCTCTATTGGACTTGTTTCTGGTGCCGCAAGACATGCTCTGGCGCGTCGGCTGGGTTGGGGGCGATCGTCGGCAAGTTTGTCAGTCGCGTCGCTTCTTGGTCGAATCAACGATTGCTGTCGAAGGGGAGAAGACAGTCCGGCAGTCAAAGAGCCGCTACGACGTGCACAGTTTGGGCAAGAACCCGACCGTGAAGGACGCTTTCCGCAACCGCTTTGAGTTTCTGGCAACACAGGAGCTGCACATGCCGACCTCCAGTATTGATGACACAGTAGATCGATTCGAGGCGGCGGTGGCCGCAGCTGTAAAAGACACCGTGCCGTCCGTCCGGGCGACAGCGAGAAGGCCATGGATCAGCAAGGCCACCTTGGAGTTAATCGAGAAGAGAACATCAGCCCGAACAATCGGAGACAGACGATTAGAACTATCGCTCAACAAACTCATCCGGAGCAGTGCGAAGACAGACAGGGGAAAGTGGCTCGACGATTTGGTCTCAGACGGGTCGTGGACATCAGTGCAAAAGCTCCGCCGGCCCAGGCAGCCTGCAAGAGGGAAGTTGTGCAGCAAAGACGGCGTGCTTGTAGGGTCATGTGACCGGGCAGAGACGTTTGCTGAGCATCTGGGGATGATCCAATGGGCCGTCCGGCCGCTGACGGCAGCAATTGCGCAGGAAGCAGTCGACCAAGAGCTGCCCGCGTGCGAGGGGCCGATCGCAGTGGAAGAAGTCCAGGCAGCAGTGCGCAAGCTGAAGGCCGGGAGAGACGCCCTCCAGGTGCCGGCCGAAGCCCTGAAGACAGTCATGGAGCATGTCGACAGTACGGGTGCGCAATGGCTGACGACAGTAATGCAGGATTGTTGGGAAACCAAAGCCACTCCGCGGAGTTGGCATGCGGCCAGAGCCAGAGAGATATACAAGAAGGCCAGCCCAGCGGACTGCGAGAATTACAGACCAATGTCTCTCGTCAGCGTGATGTACAAAGTATATGCGATGATCTTGCTAGCAAGATTGAAAGCCGCAGGGGCGGAAAACCATTTGCGGGGCACGCAGTTCGGGTTCCGGCGGAAATTCTCCACCGAGGATGCTCTGTTCATCGTCCGGCGTAAGTGCAGGCGTGGGCCGCGAAGGACGGCAAGGCAGTTTTTCTTCGCACCGGACTGGAAGAAGGGCTTCGACAGTATCGCGCCCGAGCGCTTACTGGCGGCTTCGAAGCGATTCGGAGTGAAGGACAGCATGATCTTCGCGGTGGCGGAGATCTACAGCGAGCGCCAGTTTGCAGTCGTGGAAGGCGGCGTCGAGTCGTGCCCGCGACAGCAACGAGCGGGCATCAGCCAAGGTTGCCCGCTGTTTCCTTTTCTCTTTGGCACTGTGATGACAATACTCATGAGAGACGCGGTCAGTCGCCTGGGCCGCGCGGCCAAGCAGGCGCACGACCAAGGGCATCTTTCTGAAGTGCTGCATGCAGACGACACTTTGCTGATTAGCTCTTCGGCAGTGCACGTTGAAGAGTTGATGGAGTGGATAACACATTGTGGTGGCCAGTACGGCCTCCAGATACATTTGGGGAAGCTACATCTTATGAAGATATGCGCGGGCCTGAACGTCACCGCTCCGACCGGGGACACGCTGGAGGCCAAGGACACCACGCTGCACTTGGGGGCCATAGTGCACAGCGGCGGCCGCTCCACTTCGGAAGTGGGCAGGAAAATCGGGGCCGCCACGGCAGACTTCCGATCGCTCTGCACTGCCTGGAAGAACGCGACGATCAGCCTGGCCAGAAAGATCGAGCTGCTTCAAAATATAATTAGGTCGAAACTGAAATGCGCAACGGCGTCTATGTGGCTCATGAAGACAGATTTGCGCCGGTTGGGTGGAATTTTGCCGCCGTTGCTTACGAAAGATCCTTCGCACTCCTCTGGCATTCATCTCAATAATCAGCAATGATGAAGTCTTGAGGAGAGCACAGTGTGAAAGTTTATCGGCGAGCATCCGGAGTTCGCAGTTGCACTTGCTCGGCCAGGTGATCAGAGTCCCGTCCAAGGCAGAGCTGAGGAAGGTCGCTTTCCATGGCGCCGACACCACCCCAGAGACTGCAGTCTGGGTGAGACGCCGCGGCAGGCCTCGACATAATTGGGTGGAACAGTTGTGTTTGATGATGCGACAGGAAGCTGGGGGATACGCGGGGTGCGACAGAGTCTCCGCCTCACAGACAGGGTGGAAGCAGCAAGTGAGAAGTTTAGTGGCCCGCATATAGCCAATGCGCTGCGCAGTGCACGATAGAGGTAGGCAGGTAGGTGATGGTCATGCTGAGGATGATAATGCGCATGATGATGGGGATTCTGATATTGCTTATGCTGGTGCTGATGATGATGATGAGATGTTGATGATGATGATGATGATGGTGATGCTTATGATGATGATGCTGGTGATGATGATGCTGCTGATGGTGATGGCGATAACGATGATGCCCATGATGATGATGAGGAGGAGGAGGGAGAGGAGGAGCAGGATGAGAGAGATTGGCTGGAGGCCGAGGAGCTGCGATGGAGGGCTGCGATGGGCAATGGGGGGTGATGAGAATGAGGAGGGGAGAGGGGGGACGGAGGGAACGCGAAGAACTGGATGGACAGGGGGAATGCGGGAGGCAGCATGGACGAGGGACGGAGACTTGATGGGTGGACAGGTTGGTTGGGGGGAGGATGGTGCGATAGTCGTGCTGATGCTGGTAATGGTGGTGATGGTGATCAGGCTGATGTCGATGAGGATGATGGTGGCGGTGGTCTGATGATGATGGTGACGACGATGATGGTATGATGGTGATGGGGATGATCGTGGCCCTCGTGACGGCTCTGATGCTGATGATGCTGTTGTTGTTGATGATGCTGGTGGTGGTGAGGCTGCGGATGATGAGGACGATGATGATTACATCGATGTTGGTGATGATGGTGGTGATGATGATGACGAGGTTTTTGCTGATGGTCGTGAGGCTGGTGATGGTGCTGATGATGGTAATGATGCAACTGTTGGTGATGATGGTGATGACGATGATGATGGTGATGCTGATACCGAGGAGGATGCGGAAGCGATGGGGACGATGCTTACGACCACGATGCTTTAACAGCAATGATACTACTATGGTGATGCCAACGATGGTAATTGTGATGTTTCTGATACGCATGACCTGCTGATGAAGAGGACGGTACGGGTGATGTTGATCACGCAGATGGCGGTTATGTTTTTGAATAATAGGATGATGCCGTTGGCGACGAGGATGACGAAGACGCCGTCGACGACGACTATAACGCTGCCGATGCGGACGATTATGATGATGCAGTTGTTGATGCTGCTGATGATGATGCTGATGCTGATGATCGTGATTATGCTGATGGTTGTACTTACGTTGCCGTTGACGATGATGTTGACGTCGCCGATGATGCTGATGATGACGATGTTGCTGATGCTGATGATGCGAATGGTGAATCTGAAAGATGATGACAATGATGATGACGACTATGATGATGATGATGAACATAATGATGCTGGTGATGCTGATGCGGATGCTGATGCGGATGATGATGAGGAGGATGCGGATTCGGATGGGGAGTAGGACGATGGTGACGGTGATGCTTATGCTAATGACGATGATGATTTCGTTGCTGGATATGATCATTGTGATGATGCTTTTGATGATGGTGGTGATGCCGACGCTGCTTGTGATGGCGATGCTGATGCTGATGCTGATGATGATGATGATGATGATGATGATGATCATGACTCGTATGATGAATCTGCTGGTGATGATGATTGTGACAATGGTATGGTTATTATGGTGATACTCTGATGATGCTCATGATGCTGATGATGATGCTGCAGATGCTGGCGATGATGATGATGATGATGATGATGATGATGATGATGATGATGATGATGATGATGATGACGATGATGCTGATGATAAGGATGCTGGTGAATATGATGATGTTGAAGGTGATGCTGATGATGCTGCTGATGATGATGATGTTTCTGCTTCCATGATGATGCTGATACTGATCATGGTGATAACGACGACGAGGACGATGATGCTGTTGATGATGAATAGGATGCTAATGATGCTGATGATGATGCTGATGATGCTGATGACGATAATGATGATGTTGGCGATGGTGATGGTGGTGATAATTATGATGCTTATGATGATTATGATGGTGGTGATGGAACTCGTTTGGGCCGTCTTGTGGCTGTCTTGGCCTCCCGTGAGGCAGTCTTTGGGGTCCCTTGGGGCCCTCTTCGGCTGTCTTGGGGCCCTCTTACGCTGGCTTGGAGCTCTCTTGGCCCGTCTTTGAGCCCTCATGGCCGCATGGTGGGTGTTTGGGGGGCCATGGTGAGGAGCAGGAGGACGAGGAGGAGGTGGAGGAGGATGCTGCTGATGGCTGCTGCTGCTGCCGAGGCTGAGGAGGAGGGGGAGGAGGAGGAGGAGGAGGAGGAGGAGGAGGGGGACGACGACGACGATGATGCATGATGCTGGCAGGAGGTGCCTGGAGCAGCGGAGAGGAGAAGGGACGACGACGACGACGGCGACGACAACGGCGACGACGACGACGACGATCACCACGACGACGACGACGACGATGCCGACGACGACGACGACGACGACGACGACGACGACGACGACGACGACGACCACGGGCTTCCGAGGTCCTCCGCCTCCTCCGCCGCGCAGCCCAGACCGCGCTGCCGCGCCCGCCGCCGGGCCTCGCCGCCCGAGCGCGCTGCACGGAGGGGGTCCTGGGCGCCAAGCGCGGGGCCGCGGCGGCGGGCGAAAAGCGCTGCCCTTTTTTCCTGCTCCTGCCTCGGGTTCCAGGTCGGTGGGCTTGTTTTCCACCACCACCACCACCAGAAGTTGGAGGGAGGAAGGAGAAAGAGGAGGAGGAGGAGGAGGAGGAGGAGGAGGAGGAGGTGGAGGAGGAGGAGGAGGAGGAGGACGAGGAGAAGGAGTAAGAGGAGGACCCCCTCCCCCTCCAACTGCTGGTGGTGGTGGTGGTGGTGGAAAGCAGGCCCATCAAGCTTGGAGTTCGAGGCTCCCATGCCCTCTCGGGTCATGAAAGAGGTGAGCCGGGAGCCTTGTTGTGTGCTATTCTCGGACTCGGGGGGCGCCTGCTGGCCGTCGGGGTCAGGGACGACTCCGGCTGGAAGAAGCCGGGTGCCGGGGAGTGGGTCAACGGGCGGCCACGAGGGGGGTGATGTCTAGGGGGGGGGCTGGATTCAGGAGGGAAAAAAACACACACAGACACAATTAATCGTCGATTCCCGAGAAAAGATGGGAACATATGGGGAGTGGGGGGGAGACAAAAACCCGGAAAATATTGGAAAATATGGGGAATTGATTTATTTGTGTGTATTTATGTGTGTGCGTGTCCCAGGGCCCCTTCACGGATATCATGGCGGGGGCCATGACATCTCCCCAGATTTCACACGGCACCTCTCCTTCCTTCGTGATGTCCGCGGGCTCCGCCCCTGGGCCGCGCACATGCCGCCGGTCATGATTCGCGGCCCCCCCCCCCTCTTGGTCGCCCCCCTCCTGGCCGCCCCCAAGCCGACTGGGTCAACATCTCTGAGGGTCGATCTCTGTGAAGCAATCGTGGCGTCGGGGGTCTGCGGTCGAGGCTTCTGGATGCTTCCCCGTGGGCTCCCAGCGGTCGTCCGGCCTCGGGGCGCTCTTCCAGCAGTTGCGCCTCGCCGCGGGAGCCTTCCCGGGGGTGCCTGGAGCGTCCCCAGCGGTCGCCGGAGGCCCAAGCTCTGGCCTGAAGACC